GGAGTGGAGTGGAGTGGAGTGGACTGGACTGGACTGGACTGGACTGGAGTGGAGTGGAGTGGACTGGACTGAACTGCACTGGACTGGAGTGGACTGAACTGAACTGCACTGGACTGGAGTGGAGTGGACTGGAGTGGACTTGACTGGACTGGACTGGACTGGACTGGACAGGAGTGGAGTGGACTGGACTGGACTGGAGTGGACTGGACTGCAGTGAAGTGGACTGGACTGAACCACACTGGACTGGTGTGGACTGGACTGGACTGGAGTGGACTGGACTGGACTGGAGTGAATTGGACTGAACTGAACTGAACTGGATTGGACTGGACTGGACTGGACTGGACTGGACTGGACTGAACTGGACTGGACTGGACTGGAGTGGACTGGACTCTGGAAGACTGGACTGGGACTGGAGTGGCACTGAACTGGACTGGAGTGAACTGGGTGAACTGGACTGGACTGGACTGGACTGGACTGAACTGGACTGGACTGGACTGAACTGAACTGGACTGGACTGGACTGGACTGGACTGGACTGGACTGAACTGAACTGGACTGTACTGGACTGGACTAGACTGGACTGGACTGGCCATCTCTCAGATTCATGGCCAGCATGTTTGCTTGTCTTTCCTGTTTTTAATTGAAACTCCAGGAGTTTCTGGCTCTAATTCCACGTTACTGAACAAAAGTGTCAATAATTATTAGTGCTGAAATAAATGAGGAGGTGGATGCTTAAGATCGTCAGTGTCGGATTATTCTGATGGAATAAAAGATTCATTTTATTTTAGGGATTTGACCAGGCTTAAAAAATGCTACCAGTAATAAGGCTGGAGGGCATTATGAGCAGAATATTGGTAAACTGGGTCATATCATTTAATAAATAGCCCTGAATGTTCCTTCTTCATGTTTCCCTCTGTAAATCATTTTAGACTTTATTCTCAAATCTTTCTGTCTGACCGTAATCTCTCATCCTCGTCCACAATTCCTTCCTGTTCTTCTGTTTTCTTGTTTCTTTAATTGCCTCCACTTGCTGCGGTTTTGGTGCCGCTGCAGCAGATGGCTTTGCAATCTGGCCCCAGATTATTACAATGGAGACATGGGTAATCTCATCACATTGTGGGTGTGCGGTGGACGCCAAGCGGGGCTGCAGGCCGACCCCGGCCGCCGCGGGCCGACCCGGGCTGCGTCGGGTCAGATCCTCGCTGACGTCCTGCTCCAGGATCAAAGTGCAGCTGCATCACAGCAGGAACGACTCAGAAATGGTCTCACCTCCTGTCAGCAGCGAAAAACTCTCCTTCACATCTGGTTTCTAATCGCGTCTTTATTTTACCCGGCTAATTTCAGGACGAGATGGAAAGTTTAGATGATGAACCAGTTCCAGGAATGAGAAGAGACAAAAAAGAGGAGCAACATTTTACTTCATCTGCAAGGAAACAAACCAAAAACATACGAGTCAAGAAATGCAGAAAGAGACCACTGCATTTTATGCAAGGAAATAAAATAACATTTTGTTTCTCCTGACAACATAAAGATGAGAAATAATAAAATATTCAGATTGAATTTAATTGTTTTTATTTCTATTCCTTGTGCTTCTGATTGGAACCAACTGATTCTGTAAAGCAAAATATTTCTGAGCAACTTTCTGAGTGCAGATAATATTTTTTGGAGTTGGAAAATCCCTGCATCTTATTAAAGCAGACTGTGACTATATTCCATAAGGAGTTATGAAACGAAAAATCCCCTGGAAGACGGATACTTGAAGACCCAAATCACTAAGAAAATAATTAAATGACCGAAACTACAAAATCACAAAACTACAAAATCACAAAACTACAAAATCACAAAACTACAAAATCATAAGGCTGAAGAAACAGTGAAGCTGCTGGGTTGAAGCAACAGAGTAAATAGATTTTTTCTCTGATAAATTGCAGTTTTTGATTAGCAGACAACTATTGATAATTATTGATTTTCAAAATAAAACATGAAATTAAGTAAATTAAATACATAAACATTCAAGATAATGTACATCTTGAATGTCAAACTAGAAAAATAGTTAATAAAAAAGAAAATGAGTTTAAATTTAAAACATAAGAACACAAATAAAATATTGCAGCAGAATTAACTTTTCAAATTGAAAATAAATTCAGAACAATGTTTCAGTTATAAAGCATATATATATATATATATATATATATATATATATATATATATGTGTGGATTTGTGCCATGTGTTTGTTACTGCTTGGTGTGAATGTGTCTCCCAGTGAAGGTGTCATAACGCTGTGACGTGTTTATCCTCTGCAGGACAGCTGTCTGGATTTAGATAGTGATGACCATAATCTCATTTGGCAGCCAAGCAGAGAAACTCTGAGCTCTGCACACGTTTAGCCCTCAAACGCAGGAAAGGAGGAAGATCTGCAGCAGGATGGGGAACACCAAGAGCAGCGCCTTGTCCAAGGAGCTCCTGGAGGAGCTCAAGTCCAACACCAAGTACTCCGAGGCGGAGCTGTGCACCTGGTACCAGTCCTTCCTGAAGGAGTGTCCCAGCGGGAAGATCTCCAAGGAGCAGTTCGAAGGAATCTACGCCAGCTTCTTCCCGGGCGCCGACCCCACAGCGTACGCACGCCACGTTTTCCGGAGCTTCGACACCAACGCGGACGGCACCCTGGACTTTAAGGAGTACATCGTCGCTCTGCACCTCACCTCTGGAGGGAAGACTCTGCAGAAGCTGGAGTGGGCCTTCGCCTTGTACGACGTGGACGGCAATGGAACCATCAGCAAGAACGAGATCCAAGAGATCGTTCGGGTACTGAGGTCGCTTCTTGTCTCAGTTCAGCCATTAACTATTCATTGGCTAAAGCTGTGGGTCAGCTTGTCTCTGACAGCCATTTCCTGATCTTTTTAAGGTCAAAGTTCAGACTAACTGCTTGAAAACGTTCTGTGGTTTTCTCCTGCAGTCGATATTCAACATGATCCCAGCAGACGACCAGACGAAACTCCCCGAAGACGAAAACACTCCAGAGAAGAGAGCTGAAAAAATCTGGGCATTTTTCGGAAAGAAGGAAAACGGTACATTTCATCAAAGCGTTTCACTCTGCAGCAGCTTTAAGGTGAGAAAATCCTCTGAGGCAGACATGTTGTTTCCTTTGCAGATAAAATCACGGAGGGCGAATTCATCCAGGGAGTGATGGACAACAAGGACATCCTGCGCTTGATACAATACGACGAACCTCAGAGGATCAAAGACAAGCTGAAAGAGAAGAAGCAATAATTCAGGAGCTAACATTGTGACTGTTTTTCTTGACCTTTTTAATCTGCCTGTTGGAGCTATGTCTCTTCTTCTGTGAACTCTGTTCTGGTTACCAGCTAAACCAATGAATTGATCACCTGCTGATAGTAACCAAGCCTGCAGCTTCAGATTAGCCAGCAGGTAATTGATACGGGCAGCCTGTGAATCCTGTTAGAGCTTTTGTATGAAAACTTGTACCAACTTTGCAGTTTATGAAGTTATTAAAAGTGATTACCTTTTTGTCTTTGATATCTCACCCAGTTCAGCTTGTCTGTTGCTAATAGCGTTAGCAGTCGGACAGCTGCGTGTTTTGTTCACACTTTGGTTCATTCATTAGCCTAATTGTGAAAAAGTCAGAACTAGAGCTTCTTATGTGGGGAATTAGGCTCAGGTTAACAGTTCGCCTGCATCAACCAATCCTATTAAAAGCTGAAGGTCAGATGAGACACTCACGTATTAGCATGTGTGCTAAGAGTCCAGGCAGGATAATAGGGGCTTGACACGGTGCAATACTTGCTTGAATATGTATAATTTATACCAATTCATTTCTGTCTGAGAAATTCATTTATTTATTTACCTGCAATTTGTCTCAGAAGTTAGTAAAAATATCAGCAGAAATCTGTTTACAGAAATAATGAATGATCTAAACATGTTTGCCTTTGAGTGTCAGAAGTAAATTTTTAGCCATTTGGAGAATGTTGCAGTTTTTGCTCAGATTGAACAAAAACAAATTTTTCAGGCTCCGCCCCCTCCCTGGACTGTAGTTACCATGGCAACTATAAACTCGTTAGCTTTTTAAGCAGCGGTTCTGATTGGTTGTTCATTAATTGTTGGATCAAACAAAGTAAATTTTGAGTTTATTTTTTGGAAATAAAAGCCATTTACAACTCGGAGAACTGCGCCGTACTTGGATGGTGTTGAATTTATTTCAGTCAAGAAAGGCAGCAAAACGGAGGTCAGGGGTCACAGCTGAGCGTATTTAGCTCCAAAGTGGAAATAGTTGTGACAGACCCTGAAACGCCTCAGACTGCCGATTTTAAAAGCTCGAATATCCTGATATGCATTAATATGTCAAGTGGAAACAAAAAGACAGTAATATCTACAGATTTCCTTAAGGTGTAACTAACCCCACTGCCCCCAGCAGCAACGTGGGCGGAGTCGATAGAACGTTTGCGGATGACGTCACGCTCTCCAGAACTCCGCCCACTCCGCCATGACAGGTGTTAAAAGGAAGCGCTCCTTTACAGCTGGTATAAAAGCAGACATCTTTGACCCAACGCCACTTTTATGTAACTGATTTCAGTTTGAAATGGTCACAGGATGTTCCTCAGTCAGCTACAAACTTTTATTTTCTAATCTTTAATGAGGAATAATGATGGATGGCGCCTGTCTGTCATAATGACTGTTAGCCCTCGGTGTGACCGCAGAGTCACAGCGAATATTGTTTACAAGGTCAGAAGACAAACATTCAGACACTTTATAAGGGACTATGATTAAAATATCAAACACGTGGAGAAGGAACATCATGGAGACAATGCAGCACCGCCTTGTGTGGTTTGAATTCAGGCAAAGTCAGAAATTTGACCAAGAGGTCAGGAGGGAGGAAGTACCGTAAGCTGGAAACTCCCGCCATCTCTGAGCCCAACAGGTGAGTTAACTCAGACAAGAACAAGCAGGAGCCACAAACGAACTGGCAAAAACCACTTGTGGAACCAAGTTCAGTTGTTTGGGTCAATAGTACGTCACTTCCTACTTCCTCGAATGATTGGCGTAGTTGCAAAGGGTCAGCCGACAATGAGGGGCGTGGCCAGGTGTGGGGGCGTGGCCATGTGTTGGGGCGTGGCCAGGTGTGGGGGCGTGGCTGTTCAGGACCAAAGAAGCCGTTTGCTAACTTATAAACTTTGTTACAATATTTATCAAAAAACAACAAACCCGTTGAACTGCATTTCATAAATAATTTCTGATTCCCATAGGTTAATTTGAAGTTATTCTGTTTTTCATGTCATTTCCAACAGTTTTCTCCATGTTTGTGTCCAGATATTTCTAATACAGCATCAAATGTCAATAACACCATACAGTTATGTCTGGCTACAAATGAGATGTGCTGCACCTGTTGTCTGTGCAAACAGCAGATAATTTCATTTTTAAATTCATCTTCCCGCTGATGGAACATTTCTCCAATCCTGACTTCCCTGTAGCGTTACGTAATGACAGTGCACCGTTTAATTTTCAGAGGAGATTTATTTTGTACACTGCATTCCTCGGTTCACGATCGGGACAGAGGTCACGAATGATCAAAACATTCTGAAAACACTGGATTTAATGTAAACAGTCACCACACAGGCCAGTTAGGTCAACCGTTACGTCATCATCAAACTCCTATCAGGAACATTTAGTTGGAACGTAACAACATTTAGTGCACAACACTGACGCACGACGATGAACCGCTACAACAAATACTCTACTGAAGCCTGCACAGGTAGCCAGGTGAAAACAGCAAACTAAGAATCAAAATTTATACTTAAAACATTAGCTTACATTTATCTTTCATCAAAATATTTATTGTGCCTTGCAGCTGAATTAAATGAGCAAATAAACCGAAGACATAGAGACCAGAGGAAATGTGAAGACGACAGAGAAATGTAAACACATGCAGACGGGGATCTGATGGGCTTCGTCTGGCTCTGCGCTGCAACTGGATCCACCCAATCTAGAAATGCATAATCCAATCATCTGCTGATCAGCACACAAATCCATCAATTTAGCTTTCTGCTGCTGAACAACACCGTAAAAATTTTCCCTGCATATTTACTAAAAATAAACAACGCTGTAGAGTGTTAACACCTCGCCTGCCTGAACATCTGCAGATCTGTCAAAACGTTTCACAGCAAAATACATCGAACCAGTATCTACAAATGTACACTGATGCAGAGAAGACATCAAGGACAATCCAGGTATAGAAACTGAGAGGCACTGAAAGGTGTTTCGTGTAACTTGGACCACCTTTTCCTGCAGACTGGATCCAATCGGCCTGAATTTGATGTTGGGAGTTGAATTTCTGTTCCAATCGCTGGACGCTCTGAACATGTGAGGATATTTTACTGCTGAACGTTTCTGTTGTACAAAGAGCCTAAATGAACAACACAGACGACCTGGTGCAAATTCAATGGGCTACACAAAACCACCATCATGAGCGCATGGAGGGTTGAACATGCATTTCCACCAAAATGAACCAGGAAGAAATATGAAAATATATTCATCATCATCATCATCATCGTTCAGTTTCAGAATCTGTATCTAAAATAAAGTCAACGTCCACAATGAGACTGTAGCTTTCTCTTCTTTTTGTTTGGTTAGCACAAAATGGAAAAAAGTTGATTGAAGCTAAATTTAAGATTTTAAAGAACATAGATTTGTTTCATATATATTAAATTTACAACAGGTAACAGCAGAGCACGCTATATGGCATTCAGAAAGCTAATGCTTTAATGACAGGTGAGCTTTAGGAGGAACATGCTGGTTCTTTGATCCGTTGGTTTTCCAGGACTGCGTTCGATCTTCCCTCGTTGTGATTAAAGTCAGAGCTCAGCAGGCTGCACATGCACCGTCCGCCGACCGGGCCGACCGGGCCGACCAGGGCCGACCCGGCGACACTGAGAGCAGGTCGGAGGGCGTCCGGGTCTGGGCCGCCTAAATGTCCAGATCCACAGGCCGAACCTCGCCGGTTTTGTTCTCTTTCACCCACAGCTCCCTGTCTTTGGCTGGATCCATGCTCTGCAGCAGCTGGTCCACCGGCTCCACCGTCTGGAAACAAAACAGCGTCATGCAGCTTCCGAGCAGCTCAGCCTGAACCCAGTGGACTCAGAAACTACTGGGGAGGAACAAACTCCAGACTCTTGGATGGACTTTGCCCAGCCATCCTCTCTGGACCTGTTACATTTCTCCACTGTGCAGCAAGAAGGTTCTGGGTTCGATTCCTGGCCTTTCTACATGTTCTCCCTGTGCATGGTGGATTCTCTCTCCAGCTGCTTCCTCCCACAGTCCAAAAAGAAATTATCTGATTGCTAATCATCAAAATTAACAGATTTTTTTTCACTCCGTATTCCACCTATAATATTCATAAATGTACTTTTTGAATGGAATCTCAGTGGAGATCCACTGAGGAGTTCCAGATCATCAGTAAAAAAGCAGTTTTCAAAAATGACGTGAAAAAGTCTCTAAAGTAGAACCTGTCTGACAACATGAAGTCGGCTTGAGCTTTGTAAATAAATGAAATCATTTTATTCTGAATAAATCTAAGAATAAGACAGTCAGTAATCTTCCTGACTGACTTCTCACAGATGATGAGATTGATTTATTTTTCAACAGTAATTCAGTTTAATGTCATACAACCAGGCTGCAGCTGACTCTGAGTTTCATCTGAGGGTTCAGGTCTATAAATGATCAACATTCAGTGAACAGATTTTAAGCAAATTGGCCAAATTTCTACAACTAATCTAAACATTTCTAATTTTCAGATGCAGAATGAAGAGCAGAAAACAGTAACATGAAAGTATTTGTTACAAATAAGCTTCAAAAACAAAAGCACAAGAAATAAAACGTGTCTAAATGGAAGCAGGAGAAAAGACGCACGCTCTGGTTGAACATGTCTGTTTCGTGCCGCAGGGTGGTGTACTGACGCAGGTGCTGCTGGACCCACTCGACCCGCTCCACCTCCAGCTTCTCCAGCTCCTGCAGAGGAAACGTCTCAATCAGAACCAGAAACAAAACGATCCCACTGAGCAAGTCATGACATCGTCTCCTTTGCATAACCATGGGAACTCGAGGTTTCACCCATATCAATGAGCGAAAACATGAGAAATGTTTTGAACCAGGAAGTGACACGTTACCATGCTGGTTGTGACCATTTCCTCAAACCACTTGGACTGAGTCTGATTGTAGAGATCCAGACAGCGCATCAGGTCATCTCCTGTCAACGATTACACACCAATAAAAGCTCAGATTTAAGAGCTACTTAAGATGTTTATATCTATAAACTTTCCCTTTTTTCTGTAACGCCTGCAATAACCACCAGGGGGCATCAAGACATCAAAAGTCTGCTGCCGAGTCAGTTACATGTGACATAAAGTCCAACTTTCTACCATTTTTATTGAAAGATTGAATCACAACATCAGAGTAGCTCAGAAAAACATCCAACATGTGATCATTTCTGTCCTCCATCAAATCTGTTGCAAAAACACAAACAAAAGAATCATTTTGTCTCAATAAAATAGGATCTTTTTTTCCATTTTGATTTGATATATTTACATTTTACATATTACTCCAAACTTTAGCTTTGCATTAAATTTCTGACAATCAGGTCGAAGTGGCAGAAAATGAAAACAGAAACGTTGCTGATGTTTATGGAAACTGGTTTAGTTCAGAGGTCATTACAGCAAGACAACAGATTGACTCAGAAATTGATGAACGACCTTTGACCTCTGACCTGCTTGTGTGGATTTCCGTCTCGCCTTTTTTATGTCCTCCTCTGTCTTGTTGCTGAGTTTGATCTCCAGCTGCTGCGTCTTCACCTCCAGATCCTTCTGCCGGTCTGCCAGGGCTTTACGAGCCTGTGACACACACACACACGCACACACACACGCGCACACACACACACACACACACAACACGCACACACACAACACACACACTCCTGTAGATGAACGCTCAGCTAACTTCTCTGCAGATCCTACACATGCTGGACACAAACTGCTCAGACTTTTCTCTTCAAGCCGGCGCTACAGAGACACTTTCTTCTGAGTCTTGTAGAAATACGTAACTATAGCTGGAACGATTAGTCAGATTAATCATGAATTACTGATTAGTGAAATAAACATCAACTACTTCAGTAATCAATTAATTGTTGATTGGAGAATTGAGACTCAAAAAGCTTAATAGCTGAAAGAACAACAGTCAGAGCTCGAAGCCAAAACTGACAAAAACTAGAAACATTTTTGCCTAACTTTCCTTACCAGTAAATATTTTCTAGTTTTAGCTTCACCTGGTTTAAACACTGTAAATAAAATGTTTCTTTCTGCCTTATTAATGAGTTAATCTAGTTACTAGTCACAGCTCTACTCTGTGTGGCTCAGTCCATTTTCAGCTGCAGTTGATCCAGTTTTGACTAAAAGAATAAAGTTGCTGCGTTTTAGGCAGTAGAAATGTTTTTATTTAAAAAAGAAACCAAATTATTTGTTCATTTGCATTTTTTGATCTATTTCTAATTTTGCACTAAACTGACACCATTTGCACTAATTCAACCTCAAATGTAAAACAAATATACATATTTCATAATTCACCAGTTATTGGTGCAGGTTTCCATAAGCATTCAGAAACTCAGTGAACCTGCCAGACATGAAGGCTTGTTTTTCTCCTGCTGGTTGAAATAACAGGAGGCCATGCGGCTGCCGCCCACATCCACATGCCGTGAAAATACCAGGAGAAGAACAGAAGCAGCTTCCATTCATGAGCTGAATCAGCAGGTGGGAGCGAGCCGCGCAGCCAGCAGCGAGCCGCGCAGCCAGCAGCGAGCCGCGCAGCCAGCAGCGAGCCGCGCAGCCAGCAGCGAGCCGCGCAGCCAGCAGCGAGCCGCGCAGCCAGCAGCCAGCCGCGCAGCCAGCAGCGAGCCGCCTGACGCAGCTGCCTGCTGGTTACCTTCTCCCGCGAAGCGGCTGGCCAGCTGCTTCCTCAGGTCGGCGATGTGGTGGTCGTACTTCTTCAGATCCTTCTTGAAGTTGTCGCCTCTAAAAGTCAGCAACGGTTTCTCTACGTCCGTGTGCAGCTGCAGAAACAGAATGTTGCATTATTAATATGAGATTTTTGTCTTATTAGTCTAAGTCCTGAATAAACCTCTAGATTAGAAACGACTCCTCAGTTTGGTAATGAATGCATAATAAAACTGATTTGTTGTTGCATGTTTATATGGTTTGATGTTGCGTTCCAGTCTTTTAAAACCAGCTTTCAACTTGATTTAATGAGTAATTTAATTCTTGTTTCCTCTATAAATGGGGAAACGAGTCCGCGCCGCCCGGGGGCCTGCACCGCCTGGGGCCTGCGGGGTCCGGGGGCTGCAGGTTCCGGGGGCCTGCGGCTCCGGGGGCTGCGGGGTCCGGGGGCCTGCGGGTTCCGGGGGCCTGTCACAATCAGGTCTTGGATTTCTGCATCACTTGGAATGGGTTCCTTTCTTTAGCAGAAAGTCAACCAGAGGATGTGGTTGGATATGAAAAGCTTCACATGCAGCAGATATCAGATTCATGGAGGTTTCGTGTTTCCAGCTGTCAAACATTTCCTGATGCCACAGAGCGTAATGCAGTGACTTGAGTCTCTCTGCTAAGAAAAATTACATGAGAGCTGCACACTGTCTGTCAGCTGGCTTAAAGGAAGGAAGCCACATTTGTCCCTCTTATGAAACAAGTAAAACAGAAAAAGAAAGATATTCTGAAAATAATCCAGTTAATCACATCACTGTTACTATTTTCCTTTGTTCTGTGCATCAACTTGATCTGAACAGCAATAACAATAATAATCAATATTGTTTATTTTAGAAGCATCATGAATAACTTCTAACTTCTGTGTTTTAATTCAAAGTAGTTTGATCATATATGATAATTCACTCATGATTATCATTCAGACCTAATCTGGTCTGTGTTGTTAAATTCAGTCTCTGTTTACAGTTGTTTCTAATTTCTTTATTTAATCTGAATAATCTGAGTGGATGAAGGAAATGACCTTGTTGGAGAACTTGAGGTGAACTTCAGCTTCATCATGGAGGCTTTTCTTCAGCTGCGTCCAGGCCTCTCCCAGAGTCCTGAGGAAACATCCGCATCATGGATGGAGCGTACATGCAATATGACCATAAACTCAACTAAAACTCAACAACTTTATCATTAAATACTAAACTAAAACTCAACAACTTTATCATTAAATACTAAACTAAAACTCAACAACTTTATCATTAAATACTAAACTAAAACTCAACAACTTTATCATTAAATACTAAACTAAACTCAACAACTTTATCATTAAATACTAAACTAAAACTCAACAACTTTATCATTAAATACTAAACTAAAACTCAACAACTTTATCATTAAATACTAAACTAAAACTCAACAACTTTATCATTAAATACTAAACTAAAACTCAACAACTTTATCATTAAATACTAAACTAAAACTCAACAACTTTATCATTAAATACTAAACTAAAACTCAACAACTTTATCATTAAATACTAAACTAAAACTCAACAACTTTATCATTAAATACTAAACTAAAACTCAACAACTTTCTCTGGCTTCTTCGTGCCGCAGAGGATGAGGATGAGTGAATTTTAGTACGTTAGGAAAAGATTCAAGCATTTAAAATGTGAACAGCTAAATGAACTTCCTGCTCTGCAGTTAAAACTCCATCATCAGATCAAAACTTGATTCTCTGCTGTAATCAAAACTTGGCCTGTTTTCAGTTAACTTGTCCATTTAACGTCATTTTCTGCCATTTGAGGTTCAATAATCAACACTCTGCTCTGACATATTTTAAAAATAATTTAACAATAACATCCATCTAGTTTTTGTATTTTGTGTGTAGCCGAGTGGAAAAGCATGGCTTCATGATGACCACCAGAGGGAGCTGTGAGTAGCGTTATCATCGCTCGCTGCGTTAGCGTCTCTGGCTGTGTTAGCATTACTAGCTTCGTTAGCATCTCTAGCTGTATTACCGTCATTAGTTGCGTTAGCGTTTCTGGCTGTGTTAGCATCACTACCTGCGTTAGCGTCTCTGGCTGTGCTAGCATCGCTCGCTGCATTAGCGTCTCTGGCTGTGTTAGCATCACTACCTGCATTAGCGTCTCTGGCTGTGTTAGCATCACTAGCTTCGTTTGCGTCTCTAGCAGTGTTACCGTCACTAGCTGCGTTAGCGTTTCTGGCTGTGCTAGCATCACTCGCTGCAATGCTAGCACAGCGAAATTTGCGTTAGCTAGCAGAGCTAACGCAAAGATGCTAACGCTCTTTGCGTTAGCATCTCTGGCTGTGTTAGCATCACTAGCTGCGGTAGCATCTCTGCCTGCGTTAGTGTCTCTGGCTGTGTTAGCGCCGCTCACGGCGTTAGCATCGCTCGCTGCGTTAGCATCAATCTCTGTGTTAGCATCGCTCGCTACGTTAGCATCGCTCTTTGCGTTAGCATCGCTCGCTGCGTTAGCGCCGGTCGCTGCTCCGTCTCCCACTCACCCTTCCTCCTGCGCTGCCAGCGGACTCAGCGACAGCTTGGACAGGTTTTTGGCGTATTCTTCCTCAATCTTTATCCTGACACACAGACATGAAGATGTCAGCTGACTGGACAAGAAAAACCTCAAGACAGTTTAAAAAGAAGAAGATGATGAAGCTTGTTGTGAGTTTTACTGTTTCTGTTCTCACGTTTCTGCCCTTTACCTTCACATTTACACCTGAATGACTCGCCTCCTGCTGCTAAAGGTCAGGAGGGGAAATTAGCTTGAAGGGTTCTTAACTAACACTGGTTTCAGCTTCCAGCTCAGAGTCACTTCCACCACAAAGAGCAGAAAGTGGAGAAAAGGCGACTTCAGTTGGAAACAGTTACAGCCCCTTCCAACAGCTTGCATTTTCTCATTTCATCAAGTTAAAATGAAAGGTTCACTGCATTTTACTGGAGTTCATGTAAAATTATACATGGATTTTAATTGTCTGTTTGCTTTCAGCCCCAGGTTCTCTGATGCCCTTAAATAAAATCCTGCCTGTTACTTTAAGGCAGATCAGGTATGAAATGTTGGAGACGTTTCAGTCCAACCAGGAGGAATACGCCACGAATGCAAAACAAAAAACACAACATTCAACGAGCATGACGCTTCTTAGAGATACAATAACTATTTAACATAAACATCCAGATTTACCAAATTAAGATGGAATGTGAGATTATAGATGATAAGAGATTAAGAGCCAAACTTCCCATCACTAAGATCTGATATTCTGCAAATGAGAATATTTCCAAAATGCCATCTTGTCTTCCTGTTGTGCTTCACAACGATTCTGAGTTGGTTCATCACATAAAAGCAAACATGATGTCAGCGCTGCTGGTTCTGACCTGATCAAAAGTTTCAGGGTTTATTGAAACGTCACATTTCTGCGCCTCAGATTTCCGTTACCTCTCATGGATGAACTCAGCCATCTCCTTCTGCAGCTGTTTCCCCTTCAGCTGCTTCTGCAGCAGAACCTCGAAACCCGTGACGTGGGCGGCCCCCTGCGGGTCCTTCCTGTCGGCCTGCGGACGGAGCAGAACACCGGCTGCATGAGCGGAGCGGCGCAAAGCATCATGGGATCGGTCAGAGGTGAGTCAGAAACGATGAGGCGCTGTGATTCATCCTGACTGAGAGGCCGCGCGTCGGCGTTCACGCGCCACCGCTGAGGGCCGCTCCGCTCAGCGTCTCGTGTCAAACGTGTCTGGATGGCGTGTGGCAGCCATGTTGCTTTCGGTGACAGCACGCGTGGGAGCGAGGCGTCAGGTCAGCGAACGGACAGGAAGTCATCAGGAGGAGGAAACGTTTCAATCAGAACTGATTTATTAAAACAGTAAAATCAGATGAAAACTGTTGACATGCAGATCCGTGGATATAATCCACTTTAATCTGCATTAAGATGCAGAGATTCTTCCAAACAACAAAAGCTGTTAATGGCTGTAAAATTTACATTTTTTTAGATTAAATTTGTTTTGTTGGAGAAGAAAAGAAGACAACTGCAGCAAATTGATATCAGTTTGAGGCTGAGCGGTTTGAAGCTGACGGTTCCAGCAGTGAGTCACGTTATGGATTAGCTGATCTGTGGAGAATCAATCCACTCACGCTGGATTATCGGCTCCTCTGCGAAGCGTCTCCTAACCCCGGGCTTATGCCTCCGATAATAATCTGTTAAAAAATAACAGCAGCTTCTCCTGTCACACCAACAAACAACTTCTTTCAATACAAACCAACCGAGTGACAAAGATTTTTCTGATTGCTTTTAGGATGTTAGACTTTTTCTCAAGAGACTCCATGGATTTTCTGTCGGATTTAGCTCTAAACTTTGACTAGGCCGTGGGAAATGTTTAATTTTCTGCTGCATTTTGTTGTTGATTCAGATCTTCAGTAGATTTCCAAAGGTTTCAGTTTAGAACTAAATGATATTATAGTTATTTAGAGCTGTTCAGGTTTCTAAGCCTCTAATTCCAACTGAGGAAGAGTAACTCCAGAGCATGATGCTGCCACCGCCATGTCCAAACATTGATTTGTCTTTTTTTATCCCAAATGCCACTTTGACCCAGATTAACGCCTGGAAAATCAAACTGGGCTGTTTCAGGTCAGACCAGATAGCAGGAAGCAGGATTTCACTTTAATAATCTGCAGACTAATACAGATAATTACAGCTGCTTTACTTTCAGATTTGCCCTTAAAATGTTAAATTTTAGCAGAATTGTGCTGAACATATGTCACATTAAACATGGAAAACATCAGTGGAGCCTGACTGGGGAGACGGAGCGATGAATTATTTTATTTTTTCTGTTTCTTACAGAAATTGTTGCATCAAAACCAATATTTTATCTAATATTCTACATATTAGATAGAAAAATAAAATAGGATTTCATGAAGAGGTTCAGTTATTTATCTGTTTTTATTTGTTTCTCTGTTCATAAACAAAGTTATAAAACTGGTAGAGGATTAAATAAAAGTTCTGCTGCCTTTGTAAAATAATTGTTAATACATTATTATTACACTGGATGCAGTTCAGTCGTGATGTTGGTATTTATTTTTATGTTGTTTTAGTTTCTTTTCTTTGACCAGTGTCTTCTAGTTACAGAAGATAAAATGGAGAAACGGTAAATCAGGCAGAAATGGAGTGAAGCAGTCACTCTGCAGTCGCTCTGCAGCCACTGTGCAGTCGCTCTGCAGTCGCTCTGCAGTCGCTCTGCAGTCGCTCTGCAGCCGCTCTGCAGCCGCTCTGCAGTCGCTCTGCAGCCGCTCTGCAGCCGCTCTGCAGCCGCTCTGCAGTCGCTCTGCAGCCGCTCTGCAGCCGCTCTGCAGTCGCTCTGCAGCCGCTCTGCAGTTGCTCTGCAGTCGCTCGCTCTGCAGCCGCTCTGTAGCCGCTCTCTGCAGCCGCTCTGCAGTCGCTTTGCAGTCGCTCTGCAGTCGCTCTGCAGCCGCTCTGCAGCCGCTCTGCAGTCGCTCTGCAGCCGCTCTGCAGTCGCTCTGCAGTCGCTCTGCAGCCGCTGTGCAGTCGCTGCAGGCAGCGGCTCTGCAGCGGCTCTGCAGCCGCTCTGCAGTCGCTCTGCAGTCGCTCTGCAGTCGCTCTGCAGCCGCTCTGCAGTCGCTCTGCAGCCGCTCTGCAGCCGCTCTGCAGTCGCTCTGCAGCCGCTCTGCAGTCGCTCTGCAGCCGCTCTGCAGTCGCTCTGCAGTCGCTCTGCAGCCGCTCTGCAGTCGCTTTGCAGCTGACTTCCTGCAGGTTTCTATATCGGGAATGAGTCGCTCCAGAAACTCACCCAGAAATAATCGCAGTAGCTCCATTCGTTGGGCTTGAGGAGCTGCTGCTCCGGACCTTCTCCTGGCAGCGGGAACGTCACACAGTTTATCTGCAACAACACAAGCACACATCAGGCTGGACAGACTGCTGAAGGTCACGGTGCTGAGGAGCCTAAAGGTCACAGCGAGAGCGACGCCCTGAGGGAGCCACAGAAACGTTTCTGTACGTAAACAGTCCGGCCGAGTCCGGCCTCCTCGCGCTGCAGCGTCTTCAGTTATTCTGATTATGTAATGCTGCCATCTGGGATCCTAACAGTCCCAACCCGGCATGTCAGGCTGGGACACGCAGACGGGACGCTTCACCCACAAACACACAAACTCCCCAATTCACCCTGTTTACAGCCAATACTGTTCCACGCTGCTGCTGCTGCAGCTGTAGCTGTCGCTGCTGCTGCTGCTGCTGCTTCACCACCTAGAGACAAACATCTGACTCAGCCCAGCTGCTTTCATCTTCTGCTCAGATTAAATCACAACAGGGATTTTTTCTGTGCTCTTGGATGTTTACTGAAACGCTAACATTGGAAAGCTGGAGAGATGTCTTAATTAAAGCAAAGCAAAACGTTCCCACTGAGGGCATCAGAGGAAGCGAAGCTGATTTAAAAGCAGCAGAAACAACAAAGAATCACAGATAATTCAGGTTTGAATGCGTCTCGTCGACATGTCCCCCCAGCTCAGCAGGAATCTTCACTGAGCTGCTCAGACACCAGAGCAGCATCAACTCAGAACATTTACTCTCCACTGGACCACAGTGGAGGCTCTAGAGTGGCCTAGTCAAAGCCCAGATCTCAGCCTCAAAGGGAGTGTGTAAGAAACATCACCTTTAACCCAGAAACCAAACCCACACAACTAAACTCTTTCATTTGTCAGATAAACTTTGTTGTTTTTAGGATCAACTTTTAATTTTACCTTATAAAAAAACAGTAAATAATAATGAAGCTGAAATGTTTATTTCTGGTGGAAACAGTTTCTGCCTATAAATATTCACTCAAACCGTCGTCGTGGTGCCGGCAGCTTGTGTCGCACCAAACATCCGAGGCGCTAAATGATTATTGATGGACGATAACGAGCAGCTTCAGGTGAAACAGTCACAGCTTCTGGCGGCTTTTGGCTTTTTGCTGGAAACTTCGTCAAAAATGAACCAAAACATTTTGACCTCCAAGAGAAAAACCTGGTTTTGATTTTTTTAAAGTCATATTTGTACAGTTTTATTTGGTCATTTATTAATATCAGAGTTTCAAACTAATTATTTATCTTCAAACTAAAAGGTCAGCAAGCTAATTATTGTGTTAGTAATTATTTTAGTTTCCAAACTAATTAGTTAGCTTTAAATCAAACATTTAGTTAGCAAGCAAATTAGTTGGCAAAACGAATCATTTATTTGCTTATATTATAATATTTAGAATTCAGCTAAATATTCAACATTAAACTAAACATTTAGTTAGCAAACAAACTAAATAGTTAGCCAGTAAATAAGCTAAATGTTTAGCTTGAGGCTAAATATAAATAGCAGGAATTTATATTTGCGATATCCAGCTTTTATTTTGATAGGACACTTCTGGTGACTTTGCATATCAAGAAAAATGTTTTATTGCAAACTGAGTCTTTAGTTTGGAGGTATATATTTAGTCTAGAAACTAAATATTAAGATTATTAATTAAACATTTTGTCTGAAATTCTGACATTTTTGAATGAATAAAAAATGAACCTGATTTTTCCTTTAACCAAATTATTGCTGTTAATTCTTGGCTGTAACTTAAACAACAGATATTTTGTCGTATTTAAAGCTGCAGATTTTCTCCAGAGTAAAACTCAGACGTTTCTGTCGATGTTAAACGTGTCGTCATGTTTGTGACGGTGGAACTGATGCGTCCTGCAGCTGATCCTGTCATCAGATTCTGCTGCTTGTCATAACGAGAAGCTTTGATGCTGCTTTGTGCAGAACATTGAAGTTTGTTAGATATAATTGGCTCCTCTAAGCTGCATGTAAACAGTGAAGGATGATTAGGTATTAATGTCTGTCTGGTTCCAGCAGCTGCATCACAGGATCTTTGGTTCTGATCTCTGCTGCTTTTCACAGCTTCAGCAGAGATCGTCCCGCCCGTTATGTAAGCGTTGATATGCAGAGGAAACGCGCAGAGCGGCGGAGCGATGATGAACCGACCGGTCGCCTTGTTCATGCTCTGCCTCAGAGATCACACTGATTGTCACGGCTCCAGGTTTTCTGTTGCGCCGCCTCAGCATCCATCAGCAGCGCTGCTTCCCACACCGAGCCGCTCGTCTTGCGCCTTTATGGCCTGTTATTGCGGCGCTGCGGGGGGCTTAGGATTAAATATGAATCCAGATTACCTTTGTGACCCAGTGTGTAACAGATCCGCCCAGGATGCTGCTGCAGCTTTTCATGTTTGAACGGAGCAGATTGTTTGGCCAGTGGGAACATTTTGTCTCCACTCAGCGGTTCTGATCTGGGCGGTTCTGATCCGGGCGGTTCTGATCCGGGCGGTTCTGATCCGGGCGGTTCTGATCCTGGCGGTTCTGATCCTGGCGCCTCAGGTGAGCCAAGCTGCTGCTCATCACACGTTTCACTTCTGCTTCATTTATTTGCGGCACAGAGACAAAAACCATGACACGGTGATGAAGGAAATGAGAAATGAGAAATGAGAGATGAGAGATGAGAGATGAGAGCAGCTCCGTGTTCATTTCTGAGCAACGAGCTTCAGGAAACTGCTGCTGTTGCTAAGCAACAAATTACTTTGTGGTAAAATATCCCCTCCTTTCCTCCACAAATTTACCTTCAGCTACAAATCAATTAAACTGCAAACGGGATGGTTTCTGGTTTCAGTACTGAGACTGATGCTGTCTATGAGGCCAAACATTATGACCACTACAGGTGAAGGAGATTAAGTCCTTTTTATGACGCCTGGAACATGTGAGTGAACATTTTGTCCTCCATGTGGAGGCAGGAACCACAGCAGCGGACGGATTCACCGAGGCCAAAGCTGAGGGATTTTCTCTGCTCTGGCTGAAAAGTCCAGGAAAAGGCCGGTGCTGATCCAGATGCTGCAGGGCATCGAAGACGAGCTGCTGCAGCTGAAACTGATGGATGGAACGAGAGCCGCCCCGTTAATGTGTGGGTCGGTTCCAGTCAGGTGGGGTCAGGCAGTGTGTTCCTCACCATGAACAGCACCTCAGGAATCTGCCGGTGCATTTCTTCCTTCGGTTCTGTTGTAATTGATAGAAATTTTAGGGCCTCCAGGTTTGACCACAGAATGATAAATTCTCCAGCTGCTTTGGTTACGGATTGAAAATAAAGGCTGATGATGTCGACTGAGGCGAGAATCCACCAGGAAATCTATTCTATTCTTCTATTCTATTCTATGAGCTGGTTCTAAAAAATATTGACGAGCCACATTGGACCCCCAAACGAAGGCTGGACCGCCACCGCTGGCTGGACCACTGGTTGGACCGCTGGTTGGACCACTGGCTGGACCGCCACCGCTGGTTGGACCACCACGGACACAGAGCTGTTGAGTCTTTGCTGCTAACATCACGGATCCAGGCAGATCAGGATGCATGTCGTCGTCATTTACTGCAAACAAACGCTGAAGCAGTTTGGTTCTGGTGTGATCCGATTTATGTTGGAGCAAATAAACTGGTTAGTGATGATTGAAAGACTGTTCCTCAGAACCATTACTCCTCAGATAAGTTTTGGGAACCAAAGGGGAACATAGAGACTGGACTCTGCGTTGGGTTAGCTGCTGTTTCTAACAAGCTTTTAGTTTGTTAGTGTTTCTGAATGGACCTACAGTGAGTTCATGCCAACAGCCTGGCATAAAGGACTGACTGTTCCTGTACGGTGGAGGAGTCAAGGTGCTGTGGGCTCAAACGTGACGAGCTTTGATACCAAACAGAAAATGTTTCCTCTCAGCGCCAGGATGTGGATCAAGAGGAATATGAGTCGACCTGTGAGGTTCCGGGAGACGTGTTGTTAGAAAGAAGAACTGATGATCTGCTGAGGGAATATAATCTCTTATTAACGGTTTCATCTTTGGATGGAACTGCATGGTTCTGTGACGTTACAGATTTCAATCCTCAGTCCATCCTCAGCTGACTCATCCTCATTACCGCCTTTCAGTTTTCGCCTTTTTTCCCAGAATGCATCAACAGGTCGAGCCGACGACGGTCGGATCTGAAAGCTGAAACTCCGTCAGACGATTCGAACGCTGAAGGTGAAAACAAGGTTGCAGAGCAGCTGCTTCCCTCCGATGTGTGAAGATCCCGCATGGATCCGTTTCGCCGCCCGTCATGGACGTGTGCGTCTCCATGGCGACTGAGCTGGGTTGTGTAATGAGTTTCTGTGAGGTGAGCAGAGAGGAAGATCCACTCCTCATCACCTGCTTTCCACCAGATGAGGACGGACTGGATCAGACCGGCCCAAACGCCGCGGCGTCTCCCTCCTTCTCTTGTTGTTTTCCCGCCGATCATCAGTGCTTTTGCCTTTGTCACCATGGAAACTGGACTTGCTGCATCCCTCGCAGGTCTGGGATTTTTTTCTTTCACAATGTCCGTCCACAGCCGAACATAAGGCAGAACCCACACCTCGCCTCCCACCGACCCCGTCACAGGCTGGGAGGTTACGTAACCCGCTGCTCTGTCTGGAGCTCTGGAGACAACAGAACCTCTCAGAAACCGGCCCGGCTCGGAGCTCACCTGCACCGGCTCCATCTGAAGCCCTTCAACTGGAAAACCAACCAAACCCAGAAGGGACAAACAGTCAGAGATCAGTTTACCTGACAGGCTCTAAAAATACCACCAGGTTCTGCAGCAGCTTTTTGTTCCTCCACTAAAACATCGATGAGGTTCTGCAGGGTTTAAATTCACATTTGATCAGATTTCAATCCATCAAACACAACATAAATGACGGGGAACCCCAGAGCTGCGCTGCTGCTTAAAGGCTCATCATGGGACGGATGAGAATGAAAGCGGAGCAGGAGGTGAGGGCTCGGTTCGGGTCTGCAGTACTCACTGTGATCTTGGTCTCCTTGACCTCAGTGATCTGCCTCTTGGCCGGCGACACGGAGCCGGGGGGCTGCGGGGCGAGACAGGACGGATCATCAAAACTCTCCTCTGTGTCAAAGCTGGCTTCCATCATCATCCCGCTCACCTCCTCCTGCTGCTGCTGCTCTGCTTTGGGAAAGCCTCGCTCTGCTCTTTCCCTCCACACACACACACACACACACACACCGAGGCTGCCTTCCCGCCTCACGCTGCAGCGCGACTGGAGAGGAGCGGAGTCGTGTTGTGGGGAGGGGGAGAGGGATGCTGAGGAGGGGGCTGCAGAGGGAATGTGACGAAATCTAGCCTCCGGTTAAACTGCTGTCACTAAAGTTTAAGGGAAGGAAAAACTCCCCCACTGCCCAGATCTCCTGCAGCAACAGCGCTGAACCTGATGGAAGTAAAGCTGAGCTGCTGGTGCTGGAGGTCAGGATCTTTGGAGCTGGATGTGTTTGAGCTCCTGAAGGGTTAAACGTGACACTGGAAGACGCAATGTGCTTTTCCTTTCCTGCACCGATCTAACATCCTAACAAACACAGAGGAGCGAGCGACGCCTCACCTTAGCCGTGCAAAACATGGCGGCCAGCCACTCCTACCGCCACATGCCCAGAGTTTCCGCCGATCGGACTTCCCACCGTTCCCAACGTGAACGCTGACTTCGGTCGTCCTGTTTACCAGCAGATTCTGCCATGTGGAGCCCAAACCTCAGCCGCCCGACTGTCCGTCCATCGACTGTCCGTCCATCGACTGTCCTGCTTGCGATGGCACGGCGTGGCCTCAGCCCAGGGGAGTCGGTCACGGGGTTGGCATGAATCGTGTTGGCCCGGGTTCATGCGAGCAGTGGGAGCGGCCCTGCTCACAGCGGCTACTGAGATCCGAAAGGCTTTTCAGAAGACGAGCTGCTCTGATCATCCTCATTTTCTCCACCAGGAGTAAATAGTGAGGCACTAAGATTTTCTCTCAGGTTTTTATTTTGCAGGCATCTCTTCGTATCATGCAGTGCAGAAGACTTGGTTCCCTTTAACACGCCTCAGGAAGTTAAGCATGATGCTGATGAGGGAAATGACTCAAACTGCTGCACATTATAGCAACACATTTATATTCTGAAGGTCAAACAAAATGTTGGCTTTCTTCCACCTTACAGATGAAGTTCAGACAATAAATCTGCAGAATCCCAAAGCTAAAGCACTCTGAACATAACCTGCATTAAGTTTTTAAAGAGTTTTCACCACTGATGAACAACAACGATGAGACGCATCGTAACTGATGATGCTTGAGACAAACTGACGTTACCTGTTTACAGGCTGCAGGGTTGTTGGTGCTCTGCAGGGACCTGCTGGCCTTTGAGCTGCTGCTGCATCTGCTGGCTGAAAAATCAAACACATTATTTATGAATGTCAGCTTCAGAGATATGTGACTCAAACCAAACTGCCGTTCAGGCGGCCTGAACATCCGCTGCACCACAACATTTATCCTTTTCAGCTCCCTGAGCTGGAACCTCTGATGCACGTTTCTGGTACGGCCGTAAATCTGACGCACACGCTACATCCGCTAACAAGGAAGCAGCTTCTCTCTGCTCCCAGAGGGGATTCATTGGATCTGATTGGATGCTGGAAATGACTATTGTTGTGTTGCAGTTGTACTAAAATGAGTTTAACTGTCAGTGGGGCCGCATGGAGCCTCATGGAGCCGCATGGAGCCTCATGGAGCCGCATGGAGCCTCATGGAGCCGCATGGAGCCGCATGGAGCCGCATGGAGCCTCATGGAGCCTCATGGAGCCGCATGGAGCCTCATGGAGCCTCATGGAGCCTCATGGGGCCGCATGGAGCCCCATGGAGCCTCATGGAGCCTCATGGAGCCGCATGGAGCCTCATGGAGCCTCATGGAGCCTCATGGAGCCGCATGGAGCCTCATGGAGCCGCATGGAGCCTCATGGAGCCGCATGGAGCCGCATGGAGCCTCATGGAGCCGCATGGAGCCTCATGGGGCCGCATGGAGCCTCATGGAGCCTCATGGAGCCGCATGGAGCCTCATGGAGCCTCATGGAGCCGCATGGAGCCTCATGGAGCCTCATGGAGCCTCATGGAGCCTCATGGAGCCTCATGGAGCCGCATGGAGCCTCATGGAGCCTCATGGAGCCTCATGGAGCCGCATGGAGCCTCATGGAGCCGCATGGAGCCTCATGGAGCCTCATGGAGCCGCATGGAGCCTCATGGAGCCTCATGGAGCCTCATGGAGCCGCATGGAGCCGCATGGAGCCTCATGGAGCCTCATGGAGCCGCATGGAGCCTCATGGAGCCTCATGGAGCCTCATGGAGCCGCATGGAGCCTCATGGAGCCGCATGGAGCCTCATGGAGCCTCATGGAGCCGCATGGAGCCTCATGGAGCCTCATGGAGCCTCATGGGCCGCATGGAGCCACATGGAGCCTCATGGAGCCGCATGGAGCCTCATGGAGCCTCATGGAGCCGCATGGAGCCGCATGGAGCCTCATGGAGCCGCATGGAGCCTCATGGAGCCTCATGGGGCCGCATGGAGCCTCATGGAGCCTCATGGGGCCTTTGCTCACAGGAGCCACGTGGAACCATGACTTCACTTCACCTCCGTCGGTTTCGCATTCATTCATGTTTTTCTGACAAGCCGCTCTGCTCAAAAGAATCTTTCAATAAATAAGAGATGAATTGTCAGTTTTAAGGTTTCTGTGTTTGTTGGATGTTTGCTTGTATTCACACCAGACCTGATCTTTCTAACCCTGTTGCTCAGGATCTGCAACTCAATGAGCAGAAAGACTTGCAGGAACTTCCTGTTCCTGCAGTAAAACCCAGGAAGGTTTCAGCCGCACCAATGAAACGGTGGAAGAATGTTCAAATGTACTAGGCTGATAACAGCTGGGAGGTTCATCTGCAGCCCAAAAGAACCTCTGCATCCCGTCGGTTTTAAAAGCGTCATAAAGGTCATGAAAGTCACTTCAAGATGTCAGTGCAGTTTCTCCATGTCGACTGAGCAGGAGAGCAAAAAAGTAGAAAACTGGGAAGAGATGGATTTAAAGATGAATCACGTTTTAACGAGAGAAAACATGAAAATAAGCAAAATTTTTAAATCTGTTCTTCAACCTTCAGGTTTGAGCCAAGAGTTTCAGGAAGTCCTGATGCTTCATGGAGCTTTTTCAGACGCTGACATTAGCGTTAGCTGCTACATATTAGCATTCAGATGCTATTTTCACCTTGGATAGCTTCACTGTTTGGCTAACTCCTTTTAGCACAAATGAAACACAACAATAATCTTTTTCCAGTGTCCAATCAGATCGTTTAGAGGTGGAAGTGAAGCCTCAGCGTAGCCATGGTAAATACAGTTATATTTTTAATTAGTTGACTGTTTTTTACCACTTTTTGTTTCTGTTTCTGATTATCTCAATGTTTTATTCTATTTTTTACTGTATTTTCAGATTTTCATGCTCCCACAGCAGTGGTTTCATTTCCACTCGTCGGTGTTTTATCCTCCCTGTTCAGTCGCTTCTTTTGTCAGATCCTGTTTCTTTAACCCCTTCTCCTCCATGCTGGACCTGCTTGTGACATACTGAAGTAACTGATGCTGTGTTCCTGGTGATGTTTTGTTCTGCAGGTTCCTGTTGCTCTGATCCCAGGCTTCACCTTTTGAGTCTCAGCCGTCAGTGAGTTGTTCTGTCGGCGGCGACGCTGGTGTCTGACTGAACGCTGACAGCCCCCTGCAGCCGGCTGAGCGGAGATGCTGCCGGTGCTGAACTTGCTGAGATTTCTCCTGCAGTTGTGTCCACCGGGTATCTGGGGGTTTGTGATTTATTGAGTTGTGTTTCGTTAAACTGAGTTGAAGAAACTGGAGCTCTCCAAACCAACAACCATCCACTATCATCTTATTTAGAATACGTCTGTTTGTATTGTTTTGTGACTTTGTGTTGTTTTCCAGGACCGGGTCCAGAACCCGGGCTGAGGGGGAGGAGGCCTGGTTCCACCATATGGTGAGGCGTTTGTGCTGCCAGCTGCCCTGTGGGGCTTCAGCCGCCATGTTTCCACTGGACTGATGGCCGGATCACACACTGCTCAGGTTTCCTGTCTGACTCTCAGCAGGTTTTATGGGCTGTTGCTCTGTTTTTATCCGTGAGTGACTTCATGCAGAAATCAGCACTTAGCATTTCTTTCACAAATGTAATCGGAGATCATCCCACTCTGCAGACTCTCTGTAAGGCGTACGAGGAGGAAGAGGAAGATGATTCGTTTTGTGTTCAGAGGCTTGGATGGAAAATCATTTAGTCCTGAGTTTAAAATGAATCCATCCATCCAGACCGGGTTCCTTCAGTCTGGATCTCCTGATGAACTGACAGCTTCATGTTTCAGCTGAATTGTTTCCTCTTGTTTTGTCTCTCCTGTCATCACTAAGAAGAAACAGATTCATCATTCACTTATTTTGTTATTTGGCTTTGGTTGATCAGATTCATGTCTTCCTGATGATTCCATTCAGATTCATGTCCTGAAGATGAAATTAAGACTGTTTTCCCTCCTGATGGTCCGGTCGACCCGGTTCTACTGGAACCAGAACATCTGCTCCACCTGCAGCTGCTGTGGTTCTGAGTCCAACCAGCCTGTTCCCCTCCTGGCCTGTGGGGGCGCTGCACCAAGAAATGACACTAAAACTTCTGAAGACACTGAGAGCAACTTCCTGTTTCACCAGATGAAACAAGATGGAGGATTTCTCTTTAGTCTTTGTCTAAAGTTCAGGAGCCATTTCTGCTGCTAGCGCTAGGCTAGCATGTTAGCTTTGGTTGTGTTTTCCCAGAATGCCTTTTTCTATAGTCCACTTCCTGCTTTTGGAGCGGTCTGAGGTCCGCTTGACGTTCATATTTAAACCAAACTGGAGTTCACTTCAACTGAACCAGAGTTAGCTTAGCATTCACACATCACTAACCGAACCGGACTTTATAGGAAAACGGACTGGAGTCCAATGAGGTGGCCTGAAGGTCATGTCCTGGTTTAACACCTGGTGGAGTCGGTGGCGATGTCAAAGTCACAGCAGCTAGAAAAGCTGTCAGCTAACAGCTTTAACACAGTCACAGCTTTAAAGGCTCATCTCCTTAATTCATCTTTCAACTTATTCCCAATCCCACCAGCATCACTGCAGCTCTGGAGGGACGGCAGGACGACATTCCAGCTCGTCTCCTTTGTGAAAACGTCTCCATTAAATGACAGCAGCTGACGGCATCAAGCAGCTTTCTGAACAATAAACCAGCAGGCTGCTGCAGCGCCGGCGGCGGCTGCAGCATCGGCGGCGGCTGCAGCATCGGCTGCTTAAGTCCACTGCACCGGGCCGGCCCGAGTAAGTCCTGGACGGTTTTAATGAAGTCGAGTTTCTGGGCCATCAGTTTATTCTCTGAATGGAATCAACAGCTCAGCTTCACTCAGCTCACTGGAACAGAACTTTATGTTTTAACTTTTAGAATAACAAACTGAAGCACAAAAATTGGTGCCAGACTCACAAATATTCATTTCACACAATTCTGAGTTGATAAAAATAATGTTTTATGTGTTGCTAACAGTTTTCTACTGTGTGCTGGAGAAAGCGACTCGCCTCTGCTGCAGCTGTCAGTGGGAACAACCTAAAACCGTTTCTGGGTTCTGAATATATCCTCATTTGACTCCAGATGTGTTTGGACTGTGAGGTTCTGTGGGGTTCTATTAGTTTCTGTGAGGTTCTGTGAGTTTCTATGAGGTTCTGTGGGGTTCTGTGAGGTTCTGTGGGGTTCTGTGAGGTTCTGTGAGGTTCTGTGAGTTTCTATGAGGTTCTGTGGGGTTCTGTGAGGTTCTGTGGGGTTCTGTGAGGTTCTGTGGGGTTCTGTGAGGTTCTGTGAGGTTCTGCAGGCTGGAGGAGCCTGCATGTTTGCAGAGCCTGCAGTAATTCTCAGAAGTTTGAGAGCAGAAACTTTCCTGAGAAAGCTTCGGTTCTTCCAACAGAGCAAATCCAGGATAATCAGATGAAAGTGTGCAGGCCTGATGGGGCCTGATGATGATGAGGCGCGAATGAGAATGAGTCCAGTTCACTGAGTTCTGAATGCCGAGGAGCTGGAGACGAACCCGGCAGCTTCATTCTTTATGTTTGACACAAACATCTGAGTTTTGGTTCAGATTGGGTCAAACTGTTTTGGTTGGTTTTACCTTGACTGGGATGATGGTTCTGGTTCCCAGCAGGACGAAGCCGCCGGTCCGGTTCAGCCGCAGCGCAGCAGCTCTGTGGACACAAACCAGCTTCACGTGGAAACCAGGAAACTTTACAGATCCAACAATCAAATCAGGCAAAAAGGAGAAAAACAGCAAAGTCCAAATGAACTGAAGGAAAAATGAAAAGCACAGAAATCAACTTTTCCACTCTTTTGTTTTATACATTAATTAAGCATAATGTTTCATTTATGCTTAATTGATTTGTTGAAAGGAAAAAGTTATTGACAAAATATAAATATGTAAATACAATATTTCAAGATAACATAAGAACTGAATTTTCTAGATTTCAGACTCAAACTTGTATAATTTTATTATTTCTCAGTTTATCTATTAATCTTGGGAAAAGAGGATTAATTATGTTTTAAGAATTAAGCCTGTGTTTCTCTTTAAATGTATTCTGTGTTAATATTCTTGGGAAAATATTAAACTAAATTTAAGTCAATAAAAAAGAAAATTTCTTGGAATTTTTTAACTGTTTTATCTGTTTGTTTCCATTTTCTGGGAAATTTCTTACAAAAACTCGACAATAATTAAAGATGAACCTTCATTTTATTTAATGTTCATAATTAAATGTTTATTATTCTAATGTTATTTTATTGGGGGTAACAATGAATGAAGCTAACAGATTTAGATGAATTTCAGCGCTACAGAGAAAAGTTGATCATGTTTTTGATCATCATATTTTTTGACGTTCAGGTCGTCAGAAACATGAACTGCAGGCTGGTCATGATTTAACGCCGATAACCGAGTTTACATAAAACGCTGCTGCAGCATCATGAAGGTTCAGAGCTGCAGCATCATGAAGGTTTAGAGCTGCAGCATCATGAGGGTCTAGAGCTGCAGCATCGTGAAGGTTCAGAGCTGCAGCATCATGAGGGTTTAGAGCTGCAGCATCATGAAGGTTCAGAGCTGCAGCATCATGAGGGTTTAGAGCTGCAGCATCATGAAGGTTCAGAGCTGCAGCATCATGAAGGTTTAGAGCTGCAGCATCATGAGGGTTTAGAGCTGCAGCATCACGAAGGTTCAGAGCTGCAGCATCATGAGGGTTTAGAGCTGCAGCATCACAAAGGTTCAGAGCTGCAGCATCACAAAGGTTTAGAGCTGCAGCATCATGATGGTTTAGAGCTGCAGCATCACGAAGGTTCAGAGCTGCAGCATCATGAGGGTTTAGAGCTGCAGCATCACGAAGGTTCAGAGCTGCAGCATCAGAGAGGAGATGAGTCCTGTGAAGGCGGGTCGGTCAAACCATCGAACGTTTCACCACTGAACCTGCTGCTGTTCAGGCTAAATGAACCTCTGCTCTGCTCCCAGTATTACACTTTAGATTATTTAGCCAATAAAGAATGAGAGCTGGCCAAAAAGGTGAAAAATTATTGTTTTCCTTTTTGTTACACAGAACGAAAAAAACGATAACGATGGGATGAAAAATATAATGCAATTAAAAAAATACATTTTTTCTAAATTTTGCTCTCTTGATTCAGGATGAACAGCAGAGGAAACAAAAGCACAATAAAGTGAAAGTCAGTGGATAGTTTGTGTTCCCTGGTCTCCATGATGCTGCTGGTTCTGTTGGGTCAGAACCCAACCCAACACCTTGTTAACAGCATCTAATGATGCTGCTGCACTGTTTCCAGAGCAGCAGCGACATGCGGCAGCAGGAACACCTGAACTAACTCAAGGACAAAAGGGACATTTATTGAGTGAAGAAACCATGAAATAAAGCTTCACATGTTCTGGGTGGAGCAGCACAAAACCTCCAGACTGCAGAGGAACAACTTCAGCCTCAATGGACATCAAGTCACTGACAGATTTAATCTCCTGCCTCCTTCCAAAACCCCAAGATAAAATGTAGCTGCATTAATAAAGCATGACCGTAAACAGTTCCCTCATTGTTGCAGAGCAGGAACAGTTTATCTTTTTAGTCAGATTTCTTCTTCTCTCTGATTTCACAGGCTTGAAAGCAGAAATGCAGCCTGAAGAGATGTGACGTTTCAGCGTGTTGGAAAATCATCTAAACCCTAATCCTCCGGGTTCTGCTGCTGACGAAGACCAGCAGGAAACCAGATGAAGATCACTCCGGTCAACTGGCCCAGTTTAGACCCAACTGGTATAAAAAATAAAAGCATTAAATCCCTGTGGTTTGAATGCAGTGTTTGCGCAGCCCTAATTTGTAATCCTGGGTTCTCTGACAGCGGATAAAAATCCGATTTTTCACACGGTTTGTTTCTTTGCCTCCAGGCTGCAGATGAGACTCTGAAGCAGTAATTATAGGAAGAAAGAGAGGAAGCTCTGCAGAGCAAAGACAGATGGTTAAATAAGATAATACTGATGCATTAGTGCAGCTGCCTGCAGTTTGTTGGTCCAGCAGGTCAAAGTTACATCTAATAGAAGTCATTTTAGTGACTGTGGCTGAAAACAATCTGGAGGTGCATGTTTCCTTTGATTTAATGCATTCAAACATTTGGTTTGAATTTTTCCCTTTAAAGATGAGGGTCAGATGAAGATTGAAGCATATTCATACCTGGAAATCTCAGATAGCAAAGAGTTAAATAAATAGTGACTTAAATTTTTACAGTTATTTTCAGATTTAGATTAAGGTTGGGATTTCAATGTGTTAATTTGTATTCATTAATTTCAGAGATTTTAATGCATTTAATCATTTTTTGATCTTTTCTTAAATTCAAAAGTTGAAGGTGGAACCTTTGTATTTGTGCGTTTCCGGTACACCAGTAAATCTGACGCACAAGCTGCGATGGAAGCATGGCGGCTAATTTCTGAATCATTGAACACTGGAAACACTGTTGTGTTCAAGTTGTGCTAATAGCAGTTAGCATCAGCGAAGCTATGCTAGCCTAAAATAGCATCTCAAAGCTAACATGTAGCAGCTAATGCTAATGTCAGCGTCCATGTTTCTAAAAAAGGTCCATGAATGATCAGAGAAACTGGAAAGTTGAACTTTGTTCCAATTTGATGGATAAATGACATAAAAACAGATTAAAACTATAAATATATTTGTTGCTGAGCTCATATTTAGTAATCAAGAAATTAATTATTTACAGTCTCTGCAATTAACCTCTAAATATGAATCATGTTATTTGACTCATGTAAACAAATATCACATCTACAAATGACAAAGTTATAGATATGAACTTAATCTTGTGTCCATTAGAGTCTGATTTCAGTTCCTACCATGATGTAGAGAGGAGACGGAGGAGACAGAGGAGACAGAGGAGACGGAGGAGACAGAGGAGACAGAGGAGACGGAGAGGAGACGGAGGAGACAGAGGAGACAGAGGAGACAGAGGAGACGGAGAGGAGACGGAGGAGACAGAGGAGACGGAGAGGAGACAGAGGAGACAGAGGAGACGAAGAGGAGACGGAGGAGACAGAGGAGACAGAGGAGACGGAGAGGAGACAGAGGAGACAGAGGAGACGGAGAGGAGACAGAGGAGACGGAGAGGAGACGGAGAGGAGACAGAGGAGACAGAGGAGACGGAGAGGAGTCTGACGTCTGCTCACAGTCAGCAGCTCAACTGTGAAGCAAACATGGAAACTTTCTACATGAGCAGCTTGAAACGGCTTCAGTTTGGGTCAGAGCAGAGAGAGGTCAAAGGTCATCCTTCTGCAGTGAAACAAAGCCAGAAATGTTCTGGCCCACAACAAGGACGTGTCTGTCCCAGCAGCTTGTCCTGCTCTTTACTTTCCTCTGCATGTTCTGATCGAGTGTCAGCCGGATCAGACCCGGTTCTGAACGGCTGGACTTTCCCTCCAGAAGGTTCTGGAATAAAAACTAGCATCCATCTGCAAACAGCAGACAGATGAGGATTAGCAGAGAAACAATGATGTGTATTTGATTCCAGACTTTAAAGTCAATCGATGCAAAATATCAAGAATCATAAGAGGAACTGGAATCTGAACCTGAAGTTGCAATGAAAGCAGAAGCATCAAGAATATCTGAATTAAAAGTCTTCAGTTACCAGACTGTTTATTAGTGGTGATCATAATTATCATCATAATTATGATGATAATTATTATAATTATGTAATTTGACATTTTGAAATTAAATTCACTTAATAGAAACAAAACAAGTTTAAAATAATTCTCGTTTTTGATGAAAGGTTTCAGTGCTGGGTGTTTTAGGTTAAAGAGAAGAACATGCTGCCCCATGTTGCCCCATGCTGCCCCATGCTGCCCCATGCTGCCCCATGCTGTCCCATGCTGTCCCATGTTGCCCCATGCTGTCCCATGTTGCCCCATGCTGCCCCATGCTGTCCCATGTTGCCCCATGTTGCCCCATGCTGCCCCATGTTGCCCCATGTTGCCCCATGTTACCCCATGTTGCCCATGCTGCCCCATGCTGTCCCATGTTGCCCCATGCTGCCCCATGCTGTCCCATGTTGCCCCATGCTGCCCCATGTTGCCCCATGTTGCCCCATGTTACCCCATGCTGCCCCATGCTGCCCCATGCTGTCCCATGTTGCCCCATGTTGCCCCATGCTGCCCATGTTGCCCCATGTTACCCCATGTTGCCCCATGCTGCCCCATGCTGTCCCATGTTGCCCCATGCTGCCCCATGCTGTCCCATGTTGCCCCATGTTGCCCCATGCTGCCCCATGTTGCCCCATGTTGCCCCATGTTACCCCATGTTGCCCCATGCTGCCCCATGCTGTCCCATGTTGCCCCATGCTGCCCCATGCTGTCCCATGTTGCCCCATGTTGCCCCATGCTGCCCCATGTTGCCCCATGCTGCCCCATGCTGCCCCATGTTGCCCCATGCTGCCCCATGTTGCCCCATGTTGCCCCATGTTACCCATGCTGCCCCATGTTGCCCCATGCTGCCCCATGTTGCCCCAGGCTGCCCCATGCTGCCCCATGCTGCCCCATGTTACCCCATGCTGCCCCATGCTGCCCCAGGCTGCCCCATGCTGCCCCATGTTGCCCTATGCTGCCCCATGTTGCCCCATGTTGCCCCATGTTACCCTATGCTGCCCCATTTTACCCCATATTGCCCCATGTTGCCCCATGTTGCCCCATGTTACCCCATGCTGCCCCATGCTGCCCCATGCTGTCCCATGTTGCCCCATGTTGCCCCATGCTGCCCCATGTTGCCCCATGTTACCCCATGTTGCCCCATGCTGCCCCATGCTGTCCCATGTTGCCCCATGCTGCCCCATGCTGTCCCATGTTGCCCCATGTTGCCCCATGCTGCCCCATGTTGCCCCATGTTGCCCCATGTTACCCCATGTTGCCCCATGCTGCCCCATGCTGTCCCATGTTGCCCCATGCTGCCCCATGCTGTCCCATGTTGCCCCATGTTGCCC